ACCTCTGCCTGCTGCTCTGGCACTTTCAGCAACTAGAGCTCCCTGACCCCCACTCCCGCCCTCACACACCCACCAAACACTGGAGATGCTGTTGGGACTGGAGCCTTTGGGTTGAGGCAGGCAGACCTGCACCCCTTCCTGGGGCCACAGGAGGCAGCCCTTCCCACCCCCACACCTCCCCCCACCACAGCCTCCAAAAGGAAGCTGCTCCCTGGGTGGGACCAGGAGCCTCCAGCAAATGCACCACACACACCATATCCTAGTCATGGCTGCAGACGGCCCCCAAGGCTGCAGACGGCCCCCAGGGCTCTGTCCCCAGGCAGGGGTGGTGGTTCTACCGAGAAGGGGCGGGTGCCCGCAGCCAGGGGCAATCACAATCTTGTCCCACTCAGCCTTGGTCCCAGCTGCCCAGGGGGCCTTGTCCCGCCCACTGCCCCGGGAAGAGGTGGACCCCACCAAGGACAAGGGGCTCCCCTTTAAGCTTCAAATGATACTTTTGGACGACTTGTGACGGGAGGGGGCGCCTGGGAAGGGCAGGTCTGAGGACCCAGGAAGCACTGCTTCGCTCCTTCGATCAAAGTGAGGGGCCTGAGCGGGTGGGAGCACCTCCTCCCCACCCATCCCGCGTGTGCCGGGAGCAGCAGGGAGGGGACCGGTCTGCGGAGTCTGAGGAGTCCTCCAGGCTGTTCCCAGCTTGCCATGGCCCTGCGGGCACCCCCCAGGGCTCCACAAAGGGGGAAAGTGAGGGTCTACTCCAGGGGTCCTCAAACTTTTTAAACAGGGAGCCAGTTCACTGTCCCTCAGACCGTTGGAGGGCCGGACTATAGTTTAAAAAAAAAACTATGAACAAATTCCTATGCACACTGCACATATCTTATTTTGAAGTAAAAAAACAAAACGGGAACAAATACAATATTTGTATTTGCATGTGGCCCGCGGGCCGTAGTTTGAGGACCCCTGGTCTACTCATTGGCCAGGTGCCAGTGTGCTACCAGGGCGGCCGGAAGGGCCAGGCACCCCACCATGGCCAGCAGAGCAGTGACCCCGGGCCAGTGAGCCCCAAGGACAGCTCACACACTAGAGACCCTTCCCACAGCCGCCACACAGACACCTGGACATGAAGAAAGGACAAGGCGGCAGGTGCAGACAGCCCCGGATTTACCTCCAGAGGCTGCTGCGACCCAGAGGACAGATAACGTCATAAGAACCTTTACATTTTTTTCCATCAACAATGGAATTAGAGACATGAGCACAAAAAGAAATAAGCAATAGAAAGCACAGTTCCTTTTTTTTTTTTTACCCATTTGAGACACCATGTATAAATTTAAACCCACTCTATATACCCAAAAAGCTCAAAGCACTGAGAAAGGTCCCCACGTCCCCCCCAACCCTCACCCAGAGCCCACATCCTGAGCCGGCCAGGCCTCTGGGCAACCCCTGCCCTCCCCCGCCCTGCGGCCCCGCACCTGGAAGTTCCCGTGGTGCACACTGTAGAGAGGCTGGAAGAAGGGCACCGGGGACGGCACGTTGTGGCGAAGGGTTCTCTTCACCCTGAGCCAGGAGAGCACGGTCAGAGGCCTGCCCAGCCCCGGAAGCCGGGTCCAGCAGGGAACTCAGCTCTTCCCACCAGCAGGCAGCCAGCTCTGCCCCGTCCACACAGCTGCCACACTCCCTCCTCCACCCAGTCCGAACCTGCTCTCCGGGAGACCCAACACCTGGCCCTGTGCCTCCCTGGCCATGGCACTGGTTTATACCAACACGTGTGTCCTTTGCAGGGTGCGTTTGATGGTGAGTTTGGGGCCTGGGGCAACCAGCTGTGGTCTCAGCCCACAGAGGGAGCCGGCACCTCCAGGAACCCCAGCTGCCATGAGCAGGCAGGTGGCGACCCCTTCCCTCCCGACTTCTCCCAGATCGGCCCGGTCTGGGCCCACTGGCCCTCCCGCACGGACGCAGCACAGGGCTCCAACCCAATAGTCCAGATCGCCTTTGCCCGCCTCCCCTGGGACCCGGAGCCCCTAGTTGCCCACCTCAGGGGTGGCGCCAGGAGTCACAGCTCCTCTGCCCTGGTGTCCCCTCGGTTTCCCTTCCTACGACCCCGGCAATACCCTCCACTTTGCTCTCTCTACTTCTCTCCCCGGCTCTTGGCTCCGAGGACAAGCCCAGCACCCTCCTCTACCTCTCGGCCCCGCCCACGGCCCCCAGCACCCCTCTTCCTCACCACTCACCCACCCCATCGCTCTCTTGGTCCGCATCCTGTCTCTACACGGCCGCACCTGGCCGCCTCCTGTGGGCCCTGTCCTTGAGGAGGCCCGTGCCCTCTCTTATGCCCTGACAGGTGCGATGGCCCGTCTCCGTCTGTTCTCTGAGGCCACCAGGTGCCTGACGCTGTGTGTTCACAGGCTGTTTTAACAAGGGAGCAAAGCACCCAGCACCTCCAGAGGCTGGAGACAGGGCCTCAGCGACCTGGTCCCGGTGACTTTGGGTCCCTCCTCAGCTCTTCAAGGTCACACGGCCCCTCCCTCGCCCCCCCACACACACTTCAAACTCAGCAACTTGGAAACTCCCCGCCCCATCCAGGACCTGACGGTGGGAAAGGGAGGAGCACAGGGGAGCATCGCTGGTTTGCCCTCCGCACCCCACTTACCACACACATCGACACGCACACACATCCACATGCACACACAAATACACACAAAACACATTCACAAACATGCACACAGCCACATGCACACACAAATACACACAATAACACATTCACAAACATGCACACAGCCACATGCACACACAAATACACACAAAACACATTCACCAAACATGCACACAGCCACATGCACACACAAATACACACAAAACATTCACAAACATGCACACAGCCACATGCACACACAAATACACACAATAACACATTCACAAACATGCACACAGCCACATGCACACACAAATACACACAATAACACATTCACAAACATGCACACAGCCACAGGCACAGCCCTTGGGTACCGACCTGGGTGACAGCTTGAACAAGAGGTAGGTCAGGCTGGTCAGCAGGAGAAAGATGGACATGGCGACAAAGGTGCTGTCGGGCTGCCTCAGAGGCGAGACCAGGCGGCCTGAGAGCAGGAAGGGCCCAGAGCTGTGAGCAGCCTCAACACCAGGACGTTCCCCCAAACCCACGTGGCAAAGTCACCCCCCAAGTGCCCCGGGCCTGCGTGGGGAGCTGGGATGGGCTGGAGGTCTGCGCGATGCCTGCTAAAGCGCCTGGGTGACTCGTGCACCCTGGCCTCACCGTCCCTCCTGCCAGGCCATCGGGTCAGGGAGCCTGCCCAGCACCCTGTGCACAGGGCCGCCAGCCCTCCCTAAGGCCTGGGGCAGCTGCACCCTCAGACCTTGGGGCTGTGCTCGCCTGGGGCTTGACTGCCTCAGGGACGGTCCCAGGAGTAAAAGGTGGGAGGGAGGCCCAACGGGACTCCCAAGGGACAGCAGCCCCGAGCACCCACCTGGTCTCTGGGGAGACAGGAAGCTCACGGGCCGGCTCCACTCGCTCCAGGGGCCCTCGTAGCGCTCCTCCTCGGCCATGGCGTCCTCCAGGTTGGCCATCTGGACACGCAGCCTGGCCTCATAGGTGGAACCAGGGTCCAATTCCGCAGCCTCAAGGATAAGCCAGGTCACCCCAACAATGTGACCCTTGTGCCGGGCCCGCTAGGGGGTGGAGGACAATCAGCAGTTGCTGAGGGTGAGACTGGGTCCGCCAGCCCTTGAGGACGTACACACGCACACTGAGGCACACTCACCACACGCATGTGCACACGGCACACTCACGCATGTACGCACGCACATACCCACAGGCACACGCCTACACTCTCCTACCTGCATGCTCGCTCGCACATGCGCACACACAAACATGCTCACCCCCCTCACTACACGCATGCACACAGGCGTGGCCTGTGAGCACTCACATATATCCTGTTCAGGCACACCCAGGCACACTCGTACACAGACATACAAACACGGGCATGCGTGCACACAAGTTCTCTGGGCTCTGGTCACCTCCCTTCTCAGAGTCCCCCGTCAGCCTCTCCCTGTGTGGAATGAGGAGAGACCGGGCCCCCCCTGCTGGCCAGCCCGAGCGTTACCTCCCAAGCCTCCTCCTGCCTCTTGAAGGCCAGCTCATAGCTGAGCAGCGAGGCCAGCGGCTCCAAGCCAAGGCTGACGCCCCAGGTCAGGACACAGGAGTCGGAGCTGACATTGCTCTGCAGGTCGGAGGGAGGATCCAGCTTCACTAGAACAGGATGAGGCCACGTGAGTGTGTCGGCCAGCCTGCCCAGGGCTGGGGCCGGACGGGCCCCTGCAGCCTGCACGGGGGGTCTGACGGGCTTCTGAGGCTGCCCAGGGCTGGGCTCTGACAGGCTCCAGGGCATGTTCAAGGCCCTCGCAGACCAGGGGGCTCACGGGAGGCTGCTCCAGGGAAGCCCCAGGTGAGACAGCACGGCAATGGCTCCTCCAGCCCCTGCAGCCAGACAAGGCGACTCTCGAGGCCGCCTTCCCTTTCCCTCAGGAGCTGTGTGTCATGGGGCCCCTTCCTGCTGTGACTGACGTGCATTTCAAGCTGCAGCCCAGGCCCAACTCGAAGCTCTGTCTTCATCGTCCCTGGGAACCAACCCCCCCCCTCGCGGGCCCAGCCTCTCCCAGCCCGGGCTCCCTGGGGGGTCCCCAGGACACTCAGGAGGCACGGATTCCCCAACAGGAATGTGTCTGACCGCAGCGGCCAAGGTGCCCACCCCAGGCCTCACCGTGTCTCCGAGGCAGGTACTGAGGGTCCACCAGGCTGACCTGCTCCTTCCCAGAGATGTGACGGTGCAAAGTGATGGTGAAGTTGTCGGAAGGCGCAATGACCTCCTCGGGCGGCAGGACCACGGTGCACGCGCTGCCCCGGAAGACACACCTGTGCTTGGTGTCCGGCGCGAGGTTGCTAGAAAGGGTGTGCATCAGCACCAAGACGCTGCCGCGCCGGCTTGGCCCCTGCTGCTGTCACGGCGACCCCGTCCTTCCCCCTGCCCTCTGCCCAGGTGGGCCTGGCCCCGCACCCTCACCTGGTGAAGAGGAGCCAGGGGCTGGGGCCCTGGCCCAGCTCTGGGGCCGACCAGTGGCAGTCAATCCTGAGGATGTTGTTGGTGAGGCAGGTGAAAGTTCCAGCCCCCGGCCCCGGGAGCAGTGACCACTGGGAGCCCACAGAGGCTGCTGCGGGCAGGGAAGGGGGAGGGGAGGCTCTGGAAGCTGACACCCTAACAGGGCGGTCCCCAGGGAATGACAGCAGGAGAATTCATCAGGGCAGGGCTGGGAGGTCTGGACAGCGATGCTCTGGCCCATGGCACGCGGGTGGGACTGGAGTCCAGGCTGGTCCCTGGAGGGCAGGTCCTAGCACAGTTCGGCCACACCCTCCCCAAGGAGTTTGACAGGCAGCCTGCCCCGCGGCCTCCCCCACCCGCCTCACGCGGTCACTGGTGCCCTCACCTCCTCCTTCTCCGGGCACCGAGACTCCCAAGCCGACCCAGAAGCAGACCCGGAGCCAGGTGCCCATCCCTCGCGTCAGGGCTGCCCTCTCCAAGGTCCAACCTGCAAGGGATGCTGCCCGTGAGTTTCTCCCTGTGAGGAGCGCTCCCCACGGTGCTCTGAATGGCTCGCCCCCTTCACACTCACGTGTCCTGTGAACACAATTGGGCACCGCTGTCCGAGCTGCACCAACAAGCCACCAGGCTCAGGTCAGTCGACCTGACAAAGACTCGAGGCTGCAGCGGACAAGAGGGGACCCTCACACTCAGCTCCGTGTCCGAGTCTGCCTGGAAGGCTCCTCTCTGGGACCAGGTCCTCTGCCAGCCCAGTCCCTGGCCCTGGCCCAGGTCCCATCCTGGACTCCGTGGGGTCTTGCCTGGTGGACTGTGGAACGTGCATTACCCACTGGAATTCCCACCAGACTTGTGAGGCAGGGAGCTGGCTCCCAGGGCGGGGAAGTGACTTGCCAAGGGTCACAAGGCCAACTTCTACCATCGCCTCTCTCCCCGTGTCCCCTTCAATTACGGCCTGTCCCAGCGCTCCGCTGCCGGAGGGCGGAGGATGGCAGGGGGGTGTCCATGCAGCAGCGGGCACCTCCTAAACTCTGTGCCACACCCCATGCAGAGGTGCTAGGCCCCTGGGAGAGCAGAGGTTAGTGGGGACTCGGGCCTGGGTGTTAGGCAGTCCCTGGGTGCCGTGCAGGGAAGCCGCTGGTACCCTATCACCCCGTTTGCAGCTCCAGATGGCGCACTGATAGCCCCCAGGCAGGAAGCAGGGTCCGCCTGGTTACGCAAGCCTGATGGGTGATAAGGAGGCCGAAACGCTGCAGACACACACCCCGACCTCAGCACACATGCTCCAGGAAGCAGACAGCACTCCAACCCTCCATGTCCCCGCAGACTATCTATGTACCCACAGGCCAGACCCTGTGCAGATCAGGAAGACCTCACCCTTCCCTAGAATGAAGTGCCACCGGTGCCCTTAGCCACAGCGCTGGTCTGCAGCGTCTGCCCCCTCCTGCTCAGTCACAGGTGGAGGTGGGGAGCCACCTGACCACAACTCACTCTCCGGGCGTGTGAAGACGGGATCAGAGTGAGCACCAGGACCAGGGGGGGGCCCGGGTGGAGGGACACGTGCATCTGTGCAGAAGCAGGCCAGCCCAGCTCAGGCTCATCCAGGAGCCAGGAGCTCAAGAGCATGGAATGCAGTGCCTCCAAGCTCAGCAGGCCCAGGGGCCAGGACCCGCCCTGGGGAGCAGTGGAGGGTTGGGTGGGATCACCGGGGGGGGGGGGGGGTCCTTGCTTCTCCTTGGCAGAGAACACCTCTGTCTATACCTAGAGAGCTGGCTAGAGTGGGGCCACCACCCTCCCACAAATGAGGAAACTGAGGCCCAGAGAAACCAGGCACCTGCCCAATACCTGGCACCTCTGTTCTTGGCTCCCATTCAAGCCTGTGAGCTCACAGGGTACCATTGGTCTCTCTCTTCAGGGCTCCTCAAGCGAGAGGCAGGGCCACCCCCACCCTTGACAACAGGCCCGGGGCCAGGTGGTGCAGAAACCCCTCCTGCTTACTGGCTGGTCCTGCAGGAGGCATTGGGATGAGCCGTGAGGACCAATCACTCTCAGGGGTGCTGGAGAGCAGCAAGAGACGTCCCCTTGAACAGAGATGCTCCCTAAGACCTCTAGTCCTGTGGGGAGCCCCTCCCCATGGCCCCCCATCTCCTCCGTGGCCTCAGGGTCCAGGTCAGCTTGCCTGCCATGGTTTCCTGGACCATCCGAAAGTCGTGGGCTGCCTCGCAGCTGGATCCCTGCCTCAGGGCCCACAGACACCACAGGACCAGACCACTCAGCCCCTCCGCTCCCCGGCCCAGCCAAGGCGGGCAGGCTGGGGGCTGGCGGGGACCCTGGGATCCTTGGTGGCACCCCCTCCAGTCGGCTTCACACCAGTCACTGCACCCACTTCCTGCCCCTTTAACACGGAATCTGTTTTCTAGTTTTCAGGGAGAGGGAGCGATACCCCTGCTATTCTCCCTGGCAGACAGAGGGGGTGAGGTGGACGCTGCTAATTAAACGGGCGCTTGTCCTCTGTCTTCTCTCTGCCCTTCCTGCTTGGGAGGAGGGATAAATTCAGGCCCCACCCCATCCCACCTCCAGAACTGCTGGAGCCTGGGGAATGCGGGGACTGAGCTAGGAAATGGGACCAGAAGTGGGAGTGGACCCCACCTCCCCCTTCGGGTCACACAAGCACATGTGGGCCCCCCCCCTGCCCCGATGGCACTGATGGGACCCCGGATGCTGCTGGGCAGTAGCTGCCGAGGACGCTGTGCTTCCTGTGGGTGCTCAGTGGGTGGGAAGGACAGGGTGCAGAGGTCAAGGCAGCTGCAGGAAGGGGAGGGTGGCCCCCAGGATGGTGAGTGGGAGGGGCGCTCCATCAGGGGCGCATGTCTGGGAAACATGGACACAGCGGGCAGGAGCTATGGGAGAGGTGAGGGCTGGACCCACAGGGCCTCGGGTGGGTAAGGGCACACACAGAGGGCGGGGCTCAGGGCAGAGGAGGGAGAGGCTGAGGATGGAGTCAGAGGGGCATAGGGGAGCCTCGGGAGCTCACGTGGTCCCTGCTGGTCTGCGCTCCAACCCTGGCTCCCTGTGGGCCTTCTCACACGGATCCCCTGCCTGGCCTCCTGCCCCATCACAGGCCTCTTCCTCCGGGAAGCCCTCACAGAGCACCCCAGTCGGTCTCCCCAGTAGACAACGGGAGCAGAAAGCCGGCAGTAGCCATGGGTCAGGGCTAGAATAAGGGTGTTGACACAGTTCTCTTTGGGGGTCTTGGAGGCTAAACGGGGAATCTAACACCCCTCCCCTGCCAGCACCTTCCCCAGTGGCCCTGGCTGCCCCTTTGCAGCCCCCCTCATCAGGCGAGAACCTGTCTGATTTATGTTGTGCCCCCTGCACCCACCCTAAATGTTCAAGAAACGCACCCCGAAACCCCTACAGAAGCTGCCCTGCTTCTAGTCAGTGCGAACGCTGTGGGCTCCTGGGAAGGGAGCTCTGGACATTATTGAGCAGAACCTTGCTCCCTTCCTCCGCTTGGCTGAACAAACCCTCAAATCCCACCCCCACTGCGGCCCCTCCCTCAGCTCCACGGGGGGCTATCCCCAGACTCCCCGCTCCTCTCCGCCCTAAAGCCCCCAAAGGCATGAGGATGTGGAGACACTGCCACCCCAGGGCCTGGACCTCACCTCCACCTGTGGGCACAGCTGGGACCATCCCCTGGAATGCCCATCGCACCCACCCGTGCCCCCAGAGTTCGGCTCAGCCACCGGGAGAGCAGAGCCACTTCCATAGAGAAATCGCCTGACAAACGCAGTGCCCTGCCCTCTGCCCGGCGGCACCCATGGCCCCTACAGGCCTGGACGTGACAGGTGCCAGCTGTGGCCAGCAGTGCCACTCTGCTGTCCCTGGAGGTGCCCCAGGCAAGGGCACCGGAGGAGGTAGAACTCGGGGATGCTCCCGGGCACCCCCTTCCAGGGCTCACGCCCGGGGAAGGCGGCTGCCGGCCCTCCCTGTGTCTGAGGTGCGGGCTGACATGAGTGGGTGGGACGTTCCCGTTACACACTCACCTTCCCAGACGCATCTGCTGGGTCCCATGGCAGGACAGTCCCTGTGCTGGCGGCAAAGCCCCTCGGCCTGATCCAGGAGATAAGTGCCCCGGGGCGGTGACGCAGCCTCAGCCTCGCACGGCAGGCTGACACGGGCCGCCCACACCTAAACCACGAGCGCAGTGAAACAGCCATCCGGGAGGA